CCACCCCGCCCCACCACGGTACATTACCGCAGCATCACGCAACGAGCCCGGCCGGCGGGAACCAGAGCGCCAGGAGAGCATTAGCCACGGATGAACATCATAATTCGGTCGGCAAGGAAAACGAGAAGGGCGAGAGCGCCCCTGCTGCGTCCGGCGGTCCTGCTCTCGCTCGACGGAGGAGCGGACACACCAGCGCCTGGCCGGTGTGAGTAGGCAACGAGAGGGCGCTCGTGGCGAGCAGGGTGCCTATCCGGGGCGCGACGGGCTGCCCACTGGGCCGACCCAGTGAGAATTTTTTTTCTGGCGACATCGTTTCGACATCGTTTTTTACGTCGTTTCGACTTAAAAGTGGTCCTGAAATCGACGGCTTTTCGACAGTTGATGTCGTTTTGATGCCGTTTCGACGTTTCACTGTCGAAAAGCCGTCGATTTCAGGACCACTTTTAAGTCGAAACGACGTAAAAAACGATGTCGAAACGATGTCGTCGGATAAATTTCTCACGCTGGCCCAGTGAGAAGTGGTGGTTTTGCGATATCTCGGATTAAACTTACCTCACACTTCTCAGCAGACATCAGCAGCTGCAGGAGGTTCGTCGGGGGTGCCGGCTTGAGTCCGCTCAGCGCCAGTGTGCCGTCGTGGGTGGCGTCCTCGGGGGCGGGGTCGCCGTGGCCGTGCGCCGCGGCGGCGCTGTCCGGCGAGGCTGGGGGCGGCACCAGCATGGGCCCGCCGGGCGCGGGGGCGGCGCCTCGCAGCCCGGGGGTGGCCGAGGAGGTGGGGCTGATGTCGGAGCTCTCGCTTGGGGGGCCCTTGGCCGAGCCGCCCCCGGATCCTCCCGCGGACCCACCCCCCGACCCGGGGCCGGAGGGCGGCACCGTGCAGCCCGACGGCGACATGGGTGACAAGGACAGCGGCGAGGACAGGTGCACTGCAACAGAATGGAGTCGACAGTTGCGGGTGCCGTCCCTGCCGTGCTGTCCGCTGAAGGCTGTTCGCTGAGGATGTCCGCGGCTCACCTCTGGCTGCCCACTCGTGGTGGTGGGCGTGGTGGGGCGGTGGCCCGTGGTGGGGCGGGAACAGGAAGCCACCCGGCGGCAGGAAGCCCTGGTGGTGCATGGCGGGGTGCGGCATGGCCGGGTGGTGGCCGCCGGGCAGCTGTCCCGGCAGCGGGCCCTGTAGCTGTCCCTGCAACTGTCCCTGCAGCTGCCCCTGCAGGTGGCCCTGCAGGTGCGCGGGTAGGTGCGCCGGGTGCAGCATGTCCTTGGGCGGGCCGCCCAGCTGCACCAGCGGGTGCTTGGGCTTGCGTGGCCCTCGCTCGTGCTGCACGGCTGCAACACGGATGGCAAACGCATCGCAGACACCTACACACGTTAGGGACGGGCGCAGAGAGGGTGTGGGCGTGGGTGTGACACCTCGGGAGGACCTCAGGACCTTACACTCGCACAGCAGCAGAGTGACGACGGGGCCCTCCTTTTTCACGCTCGGGTCGCCATACACCCACGAGGCACATCGATCAAGGAGGTATCAAAAGACGCGGGGGTCTCACTGCGGGGGCCACACCACGCATAATCGCCTTCTTTCACCTCTCTCTCTCTCTCTCTCTCTCTCTCTCTCTCTCTCTCTCTCTCTCCCTCCCTCCCTTCCGTCTATAGCTCTCCATCGTCCCGCGCTCTTTGCAGAGCAAATCTCCTTGAAATCTGTCAAAGTGATTACAGGGCCGCCGTTGGGTCGCGGCGGCGCTTTCTTCCTCCTCCGCACTCTTTGATCTCATGCGGCCGAAAGAGGCGGGTGCGTCACAGGCGTAAGCACGGCGTAGGCACGGACCATCGAGCATCTGTCTCTGCGTCTCTCCGTGTGTCTCTCTGCGTCTCTCTGTGTCTCTATCTGTCTGTGTGTCTCTCTGTCTGTGTGCCAGCCTGTGTCCGTATGTCTGTCTCACACAGTGGTGACGAGTGATACATGCGAGCTACTCGCCCTCCTTAATTCAACTGAATTAGAAATGACACTACAATCCCTCCCTCTCTCTCTCTCACTCTCTCTCTGTCTCTGTCTCTGTCTCTCTCTCTCTCTCTCTCTCTCTCTGTGTCTCTTTCTCTCTCTCCTCTCTCTCCCTCTTCCCTTTGCTGACGGAGAGAGGGGTGAGATTAAGCCCCTCGGGCTCACACCAGATCACGCCATACCGCGGCGCCACGGCGCCATGAGCCGGGCCGGGGAGAGAGAGGCGGCACACCGCTACTTTGCAGCTTTCTTGAGGCGCCGCGAGCGCAGCCGAGCCGAGCCGAACCGAGCCGAGCCGAGCGACAGCAAGGATTTGCAGCATGCTCCATTAATCAACTCACGCGAACTCCGGGCGCAAAGCGGGGAAGGGGGCGAGAATACTTTCCCCACCCCGCTTCGCCAGCTATGGTGCCATCAAAAAGGGGCCTAACGTCTTTGCGGTGTCGGCAGCAGAGAGCGGAGCGCGACGGGGATGGGGGAGGGGGGTGCCGAAGGGGTCGACCGCTCACCAGGCTTTCAAGTAATGCTGTTATCTCAGGCATTGGCGTCTAGCGGGGGTGGGGCGTCGTGGGTCGGGGAAAAATAAAAACAAAAGACAACATGAACGTGAGGGCAGCCACTGTGCTGCGTCCGGGACCCCACTCAACCGCGCGGTGTGGGCCACTAGTAGTTGTGGGCCCGCGACGGCCAGTGAGGCGCATACCCACCCAATCACGCTTGTAAACTGGGGTCCGATTTTGAGATGAGATCTGCCCGGACTGCTGTAGCGCGATCTTGCACCAGTTTTTGCAGTTGAAAGGCCGGTCTTTAGACCACCCTGGTCTAATACTTTTCGAACAAAAAGTCCACATGGCGCCTGGCAATCACCTCACCCACCACCTTCCTAGACTGAAACAGTGCTCTCATTCTGAAAATAGCGACGAAGTAGGTGGAAAAAGTGTTCAAATTACCACCAACCACCACGGTCAATTGACTGCTTAGATTCCAAGAAAATGCGGTTCTTATATCCAAGCAAAAGGCGCTTTGGACACGGACACCAACCCCTTCTTCCTGAAAACCAGAAGAATCATCGCTTGTACCGCACTGTGAGAAAAAACAACGGAAAATCAACGGACAACAGCGGCAATTATTTTCCGGACTTGTCCGTACCCTAAATTTAGTTCTACGGTCGAAGCTAAACGGTTGTTCTGGGTTGTTCCGTACCTCAATTCTGGGGTGTGGAGCAACCGTATCTCGTATTTAACGGACGCAAGCGGCAATTATTTTCCGGACGCGTCCGTACCCTACATTTTGTTACATATGGTCCAACTCAAACGGTTCGTCCGTACCTCTTTACTGCGGTATGCTATAACGGAATGTCCGTTGCCAGCCCCGTGGTATCAGATAATTTTTTACAGTGCGTGACCCTTTTGAAATCGTGACTTTTCATTTGGTCGCAAAACGTGACTATAATGGGCGAGGAGGGCTCCGCGGTTAGACGCCGTCGTGGCCGGGACCAGACCAGACCAGGCCAGGCCACAACTCGGGGTTCCCAGGCTCCAGGCTGGCTAGCGGCCCTCGCCTATCTGCCCCCGAGCGGCGGCTCACTTT